ATTTTAGATTACTCTTTCTGGGTTGGGCAAGTCCTGGCACAGGGAAGGGACTACACTAAAATCTGGAGTTGAGGGCCCATCCCTTCTCCCACACATTTTCAAGGCTTTTGCAATCATACTATTTATAAACAGGTCCCTTTTTTACAAATGAAAATTGAAATGCTCAGGAGACAGATTGCTGTATTCAACAGCAAATAGAGCTTCTGTGCTGCTTCTCTTTCGTATGGTAAAAATGTGAAATGCATGGGCTTTACTCCATCTGGCCCAAAGCTTGGAACAATGGGTTTAACATCCTTCAATGCTAAATTCACTACTTTCTTTCTTAAAAGGGGGAAATGCCAACCATCTAATTTTTTATATGTTGTAAACATTATGTTAACAGTATTTTTACGGGGAAATATCTACTTGTTGTTAATAATATATTGTTTTATAAGTACTGATTCTTCAGGTTTTTCTTGGACTGCCTCTCCCAGAAGCCCAAGACAATATAAGGCACAGTCAGGCCTTATGGGAATTATAGTATTAAAACAGCTAAAGGTGCTAAGATTGGGAACCACTGCTCTTCACAGAGCCAGTGATATTTAGCCACTGTCACATAAACCCTTTTAGCAGAACATTACAGAAGCTATTGTTGAAAGTAAAATGTTAAAGAACTTCTCAGACCTCAGCATTATTATCTTGCATGGTTGCTTAGATCAGAGTGAACAATTTCCTATTATACCTCAACCTGCATGGGACAGCCATACAACTGAAGACTACTGGTTTCTTATCTTCCACAAATAATTTAGTTCGAGAAATGCTTTTAGAAGCTTATCTTTGAAACCAACCCACCCTGTGAACTCAAGTGGAAGATGAATCTCCAAGCCTGGCATAAGTTATGGACCCTTTACTGGCTGCCTCAAAGAACAAGGGAACTCAGAGCCCTGTGGATCTTCAGGCACACCTGATACATCAGAGTAGTTTTGACATGTAGCATGGATGGGATATCTACAACTGTGGAGCTTTCTGTATCATACTGTAGGGCCACCAATTGTATATGTGCCATTTTGTCAATGGGGCTCCTTCTGTGCTAATGGAGCAGGAGTTAAACAAATTCCAGTGGCCATTCAGTTGGCTTTTACCAAATGGTAGGATTGCACATGATTTTAATTTTTTCCAAGAGTCCACTTGGGTCACACCTTTCTAGAAAGGCATCCCACTGCACTGACCTTTTCAGACTGACAACTGAAGCATTCTCTCCTGCTTTGGTCAGCACTTCATTCCATTCTTCATCATCACCTCGTATTACGTATCTAAATGCAAAGAAAAGTTTACTTTCAAATATGGTTGTAACACTGAGCAAACTGGTCAGAAACAGCAAAGACTCAGGAATTCAACGCTACTGCAGGCAGTTGATATATGTACGAATAAAACATAACCAGACATGTTTAGCTGAAAGTAAATCAAGCCTGAATAATTCGATCTGAACCTACATTTCAGTTATTGAAATAGTGTCACCATATAAAGAAGAGGGGCTTTATATGAACTAATCTAGCTAAAATTGAGTTTAAAAAGTGATTCTTTATCAATTACAGCAGCTGGATAAAGACAGTCAGGCTAAATCTAGCCTGGCAGGGTTTCCTTATCCTAAGCTTGCCAAGCATCCTACGAAAGCCTCCCCATAAAGCCTTCCACTGGTGCCAGAAGATTCCCCCATGTGTCCTCTGCCCTATAGAAACGTATTAGAAGCTCAACTGCTATTTCCAATCTCCAATCAGAGATAACATAAAGGACATGGTTTGCCTTCTTCCTTGTCCTACTTGGGGTGGTGGGGAGGAAAGGAGGGCTACAGGGAAACAATGCCACCCTGACCAGATATCAGTTGCAACAATGCTCCTTGTTGCTTAGCTTGATGTGGCTTTCCCCAGTTGAGGAAAACCCTATGCAACAAAGTTGGCTCATGGGGACTATATGGTGTCAGGAGGCAAGCAGTCTCTCTGCTCACTAGGCCATGGCCTCTCAAAAAACGGCCAATCCCCTAATCCCTTCCTCACCTAATCCATAACAGCCCCACCCACTTTCTTCCACTAGCAGCCATTGTTGCAGAGAGGTACTTATCAGGTCACAGGTATGTGTGTTGAAGCACCTCTGAGGTTATTTTGCTACAGCTACCAGAATTCTGGCCAGTTCTGTAGTGAAAAAAATAAATAAATTCCAAAATCCCATTCTTACCCTCTGGTATTCAACTGCTTTTGCCAACGTAAGACACCGCCCTTTTCAAAAACCCCAAGGAAGCCACCCCACATGAAAGCCAGAACAAGATTACATGTCTCAGTATCATCCTTGGTCTTGGGGGAATAGCATAGAGAGGGGGAGCTTACTGGGAAAGGTCCAGGTCTTTCAACTTCCCAATATCTTGCTTGTGTTTTTCCTGAAATTCTTTTGCTGCTTCTTCCTATATCAAGAAAACAATTTTTTTACAAGTATTACAGCTGTCAACAAAGATACAAATCATGCTAGACAAAAGTTCATTCTGGAGAATGGGATGGGCAAGCTGTGAGAATCCAGGATGGATTCTGTCATCTCCTAGGCTTTCACAGGCCTCATGTACACACACCCCTGAGCCCCTTCAAAACCCTGGAGGTGGGGAGAAAGAATTTTAGTCTTCAGTCTTGCCGATTACTCCTCCCCACCTCCACCCTGAAGCCACTGAGCAGTGATTTGTCCTTGAAGTATAATCTTGGGTCCCTGAGACCTTTTGTGTTGGGGAGGGCAGAAAACCTTTTTCTAGCAACAGGAAGTCAATGGCTGCATCGAGAGAGGAGAAAAGGCTTCTTTGCTCAGTGGCAGGCTTTCCTTTCCAAGTACTAATTTGCTGGCAGCACTGGACATCTTAATAAAGGGGAGAATGAATTACCAAATCCTCATTTAAAGATTTCAGGGTTGGCTCCATCACAACGTCTTTTGTTGCTGCCATCTGCTCTTCCACAGCCTTCTCTTGAATAGTGTTGAACAGCTACAAGAAGAACAACTAGTTAAGTGACAGAACCACTCACCTTCCTCATTAGCAGCAACATGTTTGCATAAAGATACAAGATGTTTAGCTAATTGGAACTTTCTTCCAACATACACACAGAGCATCTTGTAAGGCAGAAATCACATGTGGTGATATAAGGAGCAAGTGCTAAACCCTTCAAACTATTTACCTGCTGAAAATCCCTCCCCCTAATCTATTTCCTTACATAACTAAGATATGACAGGTAGAAAAGCAGCTGGAAGAAAAGCTGGACAACCAGCAAGAAGAGAAAAATCTTATTAAACATATGGTTGCCCTCCATAAACAAAAAAGGCCAGGCTTAATAACAACTACTATATGCCATCAAGTTGTTGTAGGGCTGAAAACAAGGAAAACAAAAACTAACCTTCAGCTTCTTATAAGAAAGGTGAGACATATATGCAACAAACAAACAGGTCCTATGAACCATCCTAGCAGAGCCTATAGGACAGCCTTAAGGTGTCCTAAGAAAACATACTGAGAGGATTCTGGTCTACAATTGACTTTTGACAGTATTCTACAATACAGGATCTTTACAGTGCAGTATTCTTGCATTTGGTCAATCCACCTAACGAAGGCCCCATTCTTGATATCTACCTGAACAACCTTGCGGATGGTTCTGTTAAAGAGGCCCATCAACTGGCTGCTTGGCAGCTCTATCTCCTTCTCCAGCTGATCCAAAGATTTATGCTGGAGACCAATCCCAAGAAGAAGAGCCTGGACAAAGAGAAAGAGAGAAGAATGTGCATTTCAGTGACTCTCTGCAAGAGCAACAACATTCTAGAGTTAGATGAGGAAGTATGGGAATGTTCTAAATCTTCCTGTGGATTGTTCATTTTTTTATCAAGGAATCCTCTGTACTTTCGAAGTTAGCAGGAGGGAGGGTTGCCTAGCCCGGAGAGCTAGTTTCATATTTTGATAATTCAAGACAATAACACATCAAGGAATCGTCTGTACTTTCAAAGTTAGCAGGAGGGAGGGTTGCCTATCATATTTTGATAATTCAAGACAATAACACATTAGCTATAAAAAGAAAATTTAGAGCAATACTCCACCGTGAGACACACAGCATGTTATAGGCTATGTAGTGTGTGCTCCTCCCCTCTACACCCCAGACTAAACAGCTGTTCTCATTCTCACTCAGATTTGTCCCTGCTGTGCTGTTCGCATGCAGGTCCCCAGTTACATGTGGGCTACACAGCATGCCTGCCTCACTATACGGCACACTCTCATCAACTCTGCTGCCACCAACTGCTTCTCTTAGGTTCTGCATGTTTATCTGCTACATCCCACTACTATATGTGTACATGGCTGAGGCCCCATGTGTTCCATAAAGATTTCCCACAAGATTTATCCTTCAGAGAAGGGGCATCTCAGATTTTCCAAGACAGGCTACAACCCATTTGAGCCATTATTTTGTGAAAGTGTATTATTTGATAAATAACATTTCATTTCAAAGTACACATTTAATAATGCTTCCAAGCACAAAAACTAGATCTTGGCCCTACCAAGTGTCTTGTCAAGAAGCCACCTGAAAACTCTACTGAGCCTTGTTGAAGCTCAAGATTCAAGCGCAACAAAAATTTAAAGGCTACTGAAACATACAGAGAATCCAAAGAGGTACAGCATAGGCAAGAGGACAAATATGCTGGCCGCTGGAGGACACGAATTTTATTAATGGTAGCAAAACATACAATACTTACAGACTGCGTAGCAGAAAGGGTTGTATCTCCAAGCTGATTAAGAAAGTACATCTTAGCAATAGCTGGGATCATGTCCATAATTAGATGATAGTCCACCATGTTCCTGGAATACATCTCCAGCCTCTTCAAGTCATAAGGAATAAACACAGCTTCTAATTCAGTACGGCTCATTGCTGAGCAAAGCGTTAATCATTTGAGGAGCCAGGAGAAGTGGGAGAGAAAAGTAGGCGACAGAGATTACACTTGATATTGATGTCAAAACATCCAGACACTTCTGAACTGCAGACTAACAGAATATTGCTGAGGGCCATAAATTACATGAAAAGGTCATATATTGAATACCCAACAGAGGTGTTGCTTGTTTTTTTTTTTTTTTTTAAAAAGAAGCACAGAAGGAAGAAAGTAACACTGAGAAAGCTAAGCAATCGAAGAAATGAGTGAGTGAAGTGGATACAGTAAAGAAGGAAAGAGGCTGGTGAGCTTCATTCAGTGAATAAGGTATGAATCCTGGGCCTGAAGTTAGAGGATCGAAAGTCACAACCCTGGTGTACAGAAATCAGAGTATTACACCAATCTATGGAAACTCTGTGTTGTTGGGCATACTGTTTTGCATTTTGTGTTAACTTCTTTAGTTTTGTCAAATATCTTGCAAAGAACTTAAGAGGCACATACTTACGGGGTTGGGGCTGTTGTTTAATATTCCTGTTTTGCAAAATGTTTAAGGCCAACGAAGGAGAGAATGTGCTGAACTGGTATGACAAGAGAGACAGGAATCTCCTCCTGAAATCTGTAGGAAAAGTAGGAACACTGGCGTGACTACTTCAAATACAATTTGCAACTCTTGGTCATAATCAAGGCTTTTTAAATAAAACGTGACATCATTCACATAAGTTCAGAGACAACATGTCTCAAACAGAACGGAGGTGGCAACATTCCTGTGCAACCATTTTCCCATATTCAAAATGGGCATCTGAATGAATCCAAAGGTTTCATCACCTTTCCAGAAGGCACTGAGCCAGTTCTCCTGATCATTCTCCTCTTCTTCATTCAACATCTTCAGCATGATGCATGAGTGCTCTCCGGTCAGATCATTCTGGAAATAAAAACAGCAGATGTAGATGCAACACAATGCATTTTTATGAGCAGTAGCGAAATTACTAATTCCTTTAAATTATATTTCTCTTGAATTAGTCTGGATGCAGAAAAAACAGAACTGAAAACACTCTTCCCGCAGCTCACTTCGTAACTAGACTTAGTTAATCAAGCTGATAACATAGGTACTTCTGAGTCAAGCTGCAAACGTTTCATACTGTGCCATGTGTGGGATTAGATCCAAATTCACCACTAGGCATGGGATTTGCAGAATTATTTTCCACTACAGTTACCATAATTCTCCAGGAATTCCCCTCAGCTAGAATTCTGGTAGCTATTGGCAAAAAAAACCCCAAGTTCTAAGAAGCATTTCAGGACACACAGCTGTTCCTTGCAAAGGTTATCTCTTTAGTAACTGCCATTAAGTGTTGAGAAAAACACGGGTGGAGCTCTCTAACTCCATGACAATAGGCACAGCAGTCTCTCTGTTCATTAGGCTCGGTAGAGCGTGCCTCTCAAAAAACTACCAGTCCCCTAATGCTTTGCAGTTGCCATGAGCTTAGAGAGCACCACCTGCATCCTTCTTATCCATGTGTAGTGGCTGTTGCTGAAGAGAAAGACAAGGCACAGGTGCACATACTGAAACTCCCCTGAGAACTTGGATTTTTTGGTCACAGCTACCAGAATTCTTGCTGGGGGAATTCCCAGTGATTTCTGGTAGCTAGAGGGGGAAAAAAAACCAAACCTCCCCCCCCCCGCAATGCTTATCCACCATTAGTAAGCATCTATGTCAACATCAACTTTACACTTAGCTATGGTATATCTCTCCACCCAAATATGATAGCAGTAGGAAGATGATAAAAAGGATCCTTTTCATTGACTGGCACAAAAGCAGATGCAACCAGTGAATAGGCGGGAAAGTGTGGAGTCCTTCTCTGGCTCGGATTTCAGATTAGAACTACAGGTGAGCTATGGGAGATACTCTTGATTCTCTTCAGACCGCATAAATCTTTCACCTTTTCATGTTATTGTTGCCATTCTGGCAAAAATCATATTGCTTAGCACAGTAAACCACACCACTGAACTGATGAGGATTTGGTGAGTCAACTGCTCTGTAAATTCCATTGATTCAAGTGGGTCTACTCTAACTGTAACTTACATTAGCACAGTAAGTCACAGTTAGAGGAGATCTATTCAATTCATTAATACAGTGGTGCCTCGCATAACGAGCGGACTGTTTAATAACGAATTCGCATAGTGATCTAATTTTTTAGATCACTAATGCGATCGTATTGCGATGTTCTGTATAGGCAAAACATCGCACTGCGATGATCGGTAAGCGTTTCACTTCCCGATCTTCGCATTGCGATGTTTTTTTAAACAGCTGATCAGCAGTTCCAAAATGGCCGCCGGGTGCCCAAAATGGCCGCCGCAAGTGTTTTCACGCCCTGCCCTCGCTTACCGAGGGCGCGAAAATGGCGGCGCTATGAAGGAACATCGCTGAACCGTGAGTTTTGGAGCCATAGGAACGCATTAAACGAAATTTAATGCGTTCCTATGGCTTTTTACGTTCCGTTTAGCTATGTTTTTGCACAGCGACAATTAATCCGGAACGGATTAACGTCGCTATGCGGGGCACCACTGTACGACAATAGCTGAATCACTAAATCTGTACTATTCAATTAAATTCCTCCAGTGCAAGTTATTACACTACGCAATAGGATTTGACCCACAGCTAGCAAAATATTAAGAACAATTAGTTTTTATAACTAGTTTTTCATGGTATATGTCTCATAACTGCAAAGAACTAATCAACCAACCTATTTATGTAAACAGAACCGCCATTTGACAACAGCTGAATCACTAAATCTGTACTATTCAATTAAACTCCTCCAGTGCAAGTTATTACACTACGCAATAGGATTTGACCCACTGCTAGCAAAATATTAAGAACAATTAGTTTTTATAACTAGTTTTTCATGGTATATGTCTCATAACTGCAAAGAACTAATCAACCAACCTATTTATGTAAACAGAACCGCCATTTGATAAGCCACAAAATACTGGATCTATAAGAATGCCAATTAATAACTGAACACTTAGTTCTTTAGTAAAATATGTTTGTGAAGATGTTATATACTTAACCCTCTTTTAGAAAATTGATATAGGGCAACTTTTGATTACTTAGGTATATGCACATCAAACTAAAAGTACAATGTAGATTCTTCTTGATTAGCTACTGCAATAACATGTATGTGTAAAAATTAGAGATTGGATATTCATATTCATATCCCAAGGAATATGAATATGAATATCAGCACCATAAGTGCCTGGGGAAACCAGACCTTCCCCACAGAACAGCACGGCACACTTACTGCTTGCTGAGTGGCGCACACAGCCATTGTCATTCCCATTGCACCAATCACTGAAGTATTCTGGCTGGAGCTTCCCCGCCTATCCACACAGCTGACCACTCAGCGTCTGAGTGGGGAGACTCGTCATCTCACCTCTTTATGGGAGTGGTCAGCTATGCGGAGAGACTGGGAGGCACCAGCTGGGCTACTTCTCCTATTGGTGCAATATGAGCAACAACAACTGTGTGTACCACGCAGCAAGCAGTAAGGAGACCAGCCAGGGGAGGGTCCTGTTTCCCCAGGCACCTGTGGTGCCAATGTTCGTATCCCAATATCCCGTCTCTAATAAAAGTTCAAAACTTCCAAAAACCAAGAGTGCCTTATTCTTCCAGTATTCTCGGAAAGGGCAACTACTGACCGAAAGATGCAAATCGATGGACAGATCTTTTACAAAGCAAATCAACCTGCCATGAAGTGAGCAATACGCCTTATGTTGCAGAGATAATTAATGAATAGGTGGATGTAATAATGCAATGACAAATCAAATTTGTTTCCTGTTTTTGTTTGTTTAATTTATATATCACCCCATTAGTATGAGGCGCTATTCTGGGCAGTTTACAAAAAATAAATAAATATTAAAAAATTAAAAAATAAAACATACTAATAAACACAAATAAATAACAATTAAAACAAAAAACAACATAAAACCACACCAATTTCCCCTTGAATTCCTGTTTTTTTCTATAGAGAATGAACAGACACATAATTATTCCACCTGTTTTCAACCACTGACTTTTACATTTAAAAAAAAACCTGTCACTAAATTTCTATTAATCTTTAAGGGAAAACCTATTTGTCATGCCAGCTGAAATCGACGGAACATCAACTAGACTGCTGGATCATAAAATGAAACTTACTGGAGTCTGCCTAAGATAAACTGGTACAAAACCTGCTCGTTTCCAAAACCTGATGGGAAAAGAAAGAAACAACAATGTTTCTACAATCTATCACAAGAACGCTACTTAAGTTTTTAAACTACAAAGGAAATCTAGTACACATTTATGATACCTGGAAAAACAATTACATGTTTTAATATGAAGATGAATATATGTACCTACGCATCTATACATACACATAAATACAGAAACACAGAAAGTCAAAGCAACCTGATGGGAAAAGAAAGAAACAACAATGTTTCTACAATCTATCACAAGAACGCTACTTAAGTTTTTAAACTACAAAGGAAATCTAGTACACATTTATGATACCTGGAAAAACAATTACATGTTTTAATATGAAGATGAATATATGTACCTACGCATCTATACATACACATAAATACAGAAACACAGAAAGTCAAAGCTATATACTATACATCTATACATATAAATACAGAAACACAGAAAGTCAAAGCTATATACTATTTTCCACATCCCTTTTTCGGCAAGGAACTTCTGCCCTTTGACTGCTTTTCCCTTTATTTCTCCTTCCTTGGCTCTTACAGACATCATCAAATCCAACTAAACTGAGGCAATGTCCTATTGATTATGGGCCTTATGCACAACCCCCTTCAAATTTTGGAGGGCTGCACGAGATCCCTGCAGCTCTTATCTATTTAATTTGAAAAAAGGAGAACACTTGTATGCTCCAGGGAGCATGGAGGATCATTTTGCTATGGTTTTTGCCCCTCCTCTTGCCTGTTTTAGGCCCAGGGGGGTCAACGTGGGAAGTGAACAGAGTTTTCTAGACAGCACAATTTTAGAGTTGGTAAACTACTTCTTATTTGACCCAACTCTGGGAGGCAGTGGAGCACAATTTTAGAGTTGGTAAACTACTTATTTGACCCAACTCTGGGAGGCAGTGGAGGACAGGAGGGCCTGGAGTGCTCTGGTCCATGGGGGTCACAAAGACTCGGACATGACTTAACGACTAAACAACAACAAAACTACTTTTTAAAAAGGACATCAGAAGGCAAGTGGGTTGGGGTGCCAGGTAGCCACAACTGGCCCACCTCTGAATGAGGTAGCTAGCACTGGGATACTCATTCATTTAAATAGGATCCCTAAATAATTGAGACTGCCACTGTGACCTATTTAGGAAGAAAGCAGTAGCAGCATCAGCACCCCACCTGGGTGTGGAAAAAGATGGCCCTAAAGCAGCATGAATAAATAATAAGAATTACATCAATCAACATGATTAAAAAGAAATTAAAATATTCACATGATCCTATATATTTTTCTAGTGAATTTCCTCTTTTGTGAAAATATGCTGTTTTAAAATGAAAATATGGACCGTTTCAACCTAGCCCTGAGCAATGTCCCCAGAAGTATGGTGGCAGCTCTTTGAAATAATTGGAAGCAGCACAAAAGTACATTTCTCCAGAATCCTGTTCTTTCACTACTCTTGTTGATTTGACTAGGGTTTGAGAATGAAAGACATGCTAAATGTATCCCAGAAAATTCAAAGCAAGTAAATGTCCTAAGGCAAGGCATTGCAGAGACAAGAGACATTCACTTTGAACCATCAATACAAAACACACTGGTTGAAATTCAACAGCAAGCTGCAACCAGAATTCTTGTTATATGCTGTGGAGCCAGAGCCAACTTATAGCAACCCTAATATGTCTTTCAATATATTTAAGGAGTCATTTTACCAGTTCCCCAACAGCAAGCTGCAACCAGAATTCTTGTCATATGCTGTGGAGTCAGAGCCAACTTATAGCAACCCTAATATGGCTTTCAATATAAGTGAAATATTTAAGGAGTCATTTTACCAGTTCCACACCCCCAGTGAGCTTCTGTGGCTGAGCAGAGATTTGAACTCAGGCCTCCAGAGTCCTAATCTGTTGTTCTATCCACTACATCACACTGGGTATCCCTGCAACCAGAGTAGGCCCAATGAATCAAAGGAACTTACAGAGAGCTGATTTATCAAATCCCCACTGATTCAATAAGCCTACACTAGTTGCAGCTAATTGCTGGACTTCACCCACCGATACAGTAATAAGTACAGTGAAGACATTGGCTTCTCCCTCAGTGCAAAACACAAATGTGGCTGAATACATACTTAAGCAGCCTTGGTGTCAAGCCATAAGACACGCCAAGGTAGTCCAAACTCTCAGCTTGTCTCTCACTCAGCTTGAGAAGTAGAGGCGGCAAGTCCTTCCGAGGCATCACAGCTTCTTCTAATAAACTGACCGCCTAAAAGAGCAAAGAGAGAGAGGCAGAGAACACACAAAAGCATGAAAACAGAGTGGGAGGGGCAAAACGATGGCTCAGAATCTGCCCAATTGCTGGAGTGGACCACAAACCTGACACACAAAATTCCTGGCACACTTCTATTCAAACCTAGTGTCACAAGGGCCCGGAAAATGTCAACTGCACCAAAAAGCAAACACACCTCACTGCTCACAGTAGCTATTTCAACCGGCTTCTGGGGAACTTTTTCTTCTAGACAAGGGAACTTGCCTTCATAATACATTCGCAGCAAATGCAGAGCTCGGCTGCCATAACCCATCTGCAAAGAAGAGCACACCAGGGGGGAGAACTCTTAAAACGTGATTCCTCAGGACATTCAACATTTCTCTTTCATACATTCACCAACGGTTTAGTGTCACTCCACAATCACAGATCGGTCACTGGAGCAAGTGACCTGCCCCCTTCTCCAAAACCCAGAGACATTCTCTTCTCAACTGTAAGAGAAAGTGCACCGGCTGACATAATATTTTAAACCCCAATTTTGTACACATATAGCCAAGGTCTTTGAAGCAGGAAAGAATACAATTCAAGACACATTTTCTGTAGAATCCCTGTCCTATGGCTCTGGTCTTTAGTGCAATCAGTCCTTTGCTACCTATACATACAATAAGGGTGTGCTGCTGTTTGAAGCACTAGCCTAGCAGCTCCAGGTGACCAGGAACTGCATACAGGTGACTGAGCAGGCTGGGGGCAGAAGACTCCACTCCTCCTTTGGAATCAGCACAAGAACCACCCCCACCCCCAGTGTATCTCCACTCCCTCATCTTTGTCTCTGCCACCAGCTCCCATGATCCTGGGCCTTGGTGAGCACATAATAGAGACCACGCGCTAAAGTATTCTTTCCTCATAGCCTACAATGGGTGCCCTCGCAAGGCTAGGAACGTATGTAAAAGACTGGCCGGATGGGGAACCTTTCATTGGCTCACCAGCCAGTATGATCCAAACCAAGAGAACGCGTTTTCCACCACAAGACAGATTCTTTTGACTGTCAAAAGCAATGAGAACCTAGGCCTTAAGCCAGTATCTTCAGCCACGCAAAATATGCCATGTAGCAGCCATTCTCAACCTTTTTTGGCCATGGCCATAAACACAATATAAAAGAAATACAGGAATGATACGAGTTGCATAATGAACCTTGTAAAGTAGCGTCTGAAGAATTATTTCCAGTTTGTGGCTCCCTTGAAATGTGCCAGGACCCCCTCTGCATTACTTAAAAACCTTCTCTGGAGAGTTTCCCAGTCCTCTGGAAGACAGTAGGACTGCAAGAGGAAAGGAATTACTCTGCCACTGTGATTCTCCTGATGGAGATAGTTTCACCTCATTGGACGCTCACCATTGTTTTGCTGAAGTTTACCAACAGGAAGTTAAAATACATTACCCCTTGATAATCAGGATGGACCGCAATACGAACAACTCTTCCACCAGAGAGTCTACCAAAATCAGGGTCCTGGAACTATTTAAAAAAAAGAGAGAGAATTAGTAATTGTTAACTAAGCCAAATGACACTTGTCATATAAAAATGATGGAGCAACAAAAATGCCTTGGAGACAAGTCAAGAATTGATTTGTTACCTGCTCAGAGATGGTCCATGGAATGAGATCTCCTGAGGCTTTCTTTCCTCTGGATAGACTGTTCATGATAGACTGACGAGAGATCTCCCCCTCCAAACAAACCTGCCGAAGGAGAGAGAAAATAAAGGAAATATGGGATTAAACACCTCTGGATTGGAGCACAGCACTGCATGGACAACAATCTTTCAGACACACCTCATCTAAAGTAGTGATGTTACTCTTATGTCTGGAGCAGTGTTTCACAGCCTTGCATCCCCAGGTGTTCCTGGACTACAACCCCCATAAATCCTGGTCAGGACAGCTACCGTGTTTCCATGAAAATAAGACAAGAATTTTATACTATGTTTTGCTCCAAGAAACACAATAGGGCTTATTTTGGTGGGATGTTTTATGTTTTTCATGTACAATAATCTACATTTATTCAAATATAGTCCTGTCATCATCTTCTGGCTGCTGCACAATGATGGAGGGCGGGGTTTCACTTAACTGGAGCTTTTTTGGGGGGTAGGGATAATATTACGAACATCCTCAAAAATCATACTAGGGCGTATTTTTAGGTTAGGTCTTATTTTCGGGGAAGCAGGGTTGTGGTGAAGGCTTCTGAGAATTTTAGTCCAGGAACATCAGGGACCCCAAAGTTGGGAACCACTGGTCTAAAGTATGAGTTAATCCAGAGACCTATTGTGTTCCTGTAAAGCATAACTACATACAGACTAAGAAAGAGAATCTTGAAACACCATCTGCACAAGAACAAATGAGAGTTCCTTTCAAATGCTTTATAAAATGCCATAAAGCATGATTACACTTCCATATTAATTCATCCATTTGTAATACATAGGGAT